GTTAACAACAAATACCATCTTTTTACGTCTTTTGGTATGGCGGCCGCTCTACCACCAAACCACGGAGGCGATCCCCAACATTGGAACAACATGAAAAGCCATTACCCAGTGTCTCCCATTATTTTATAAGTGCAGCATAACACATTATTCACTCCCTGTGGGTATTGTTGTTGCTTTAAAAAAACAATAATTAGTTACAGAATATCTTCAAATTAATGATGATGTCTCCGGTTTACAACAACAACAATAAATTTCTCCGGGCATGCTAAATACAAATGCCAAAAGGTTGGTTATGAAAAATGACAGACTGTCTCTAACAAAAATCTGAGTACCATGGTACATTTAAGTGCGTGAGTGAGTTAGGTTTTACGCCGCTTTTTCCAATATCACGGTGGGGGACACCAGAAATGGGCTTCACACATGGTACCAATGTCGGGATTCGAAACCGGGTCTTCGGCATGACGAGCGAACGCTTTAACCACGGCCGACCCGACCGCCCCGTACATTTAAGTGACTACTTTTCAACAAGGTACCTCAAAGGTACCAGACTAAAAATATATATTTTATTATCTCAAAATTCAAAGACAGTTGGTTATATTTCCAATACTCACCTCGATCCACTCTGTAGATACGCCCCATCTGAGCAAGTTCATCAACAGTGGTGCCGCTTAATGCGTCGCCAACATATGACACAAAACACCATGTTGGAGATATCTTGACAAACATACATCGCAAATCATTAACGCACATGATAAAACAATGCATTTTGGAGATCCGGAGTTCCCACATGGTGCGAGTTGAAATTAATTCGCTGCCAATATCGAGTTTTAACTGGCTGGACTATTGCCGTCACATTGGAGAGACTATATTGATAACAGAAACTCATTACCCGTCAGATTAACGGTGATGTAAATCCCGAGGCGATGCATGTTTTTATCTTTGTATTATTTTCTGAAATATGTGTGCATGAGTATGGTACTGACAAAAACCAAGGATTAAAGTTAGGGCAAATCTTAAATGAGACCCCTAGATCACAGGATCCTCATAGGAGCTTAACCCGGCACAGCGGATTGCAAAAGGGACGAGATAATAAGGCCGCAAGAAGACACTGTGAATCATGACATTTATGCTTCAAATTCCATTGACGAATATAGTTCTCAGAACCCAATGCCTGTCTTTAGAGCCGAATAAATAGGATCGGATGGTCAGACTTGGTGATTTGTTTGATTGAATTGCATCTTTCCATAAACGGGTGGCCCAGTCGTCTATCGGGCCGCGATTCGCTGTTCAGAGTTGCGTCCCTTGGGCACGCCAGAAACCTATGATTGTAGGTTCGAATCCCGGTTCGCGCCTTATGTTTCTAGGTTTGTCAGCACCATACCCGTGCTCGTGGGTTTCACCGTGATGGTGAGACCTGCATCACTTCGGGCTTTCCTCCTACAATATGCTGACACGCTACGATATAACTGTAATACTGTTAAAAGCGGCGTTAAACCCAAATCACTCACTCACTCACTCTGTGGGATAGACGAGTGTTCTTGCTTGGCCCCATGTAGGAGCTAAATCTTGAAGGGAGTAATCTTAGCAGTATTAGTTTTGATCAGGAAAAGCTTGGCATCGGAGGACTTAGTCTTAATCTAGCTCGGAGAGGTTGATGTTACTTCCTCGATCTTGTTTCTTGATGTTTCTTCGTTCTTTATATCTTAAGTTAATAATTGGCCTTCAGGGCGGTATCGCGTCCTTTTAATGACCGACAATATTGTGAACCATACATATTCCTGCAAAGAGGCGCTGGGAAGGACAGACGCAGATGTCTTCCATACGCGATAGCTCCACCAAATTAATCAGGTGACAAAATGGAGTCGACCCAAAGCTAATAATATACTGAACCCCAAGTAACATTGCATGGAAAGTTGTCATTTAAATATCTGTATAATTTTTGTCAAAGTTTCTAAAATTTAACATAACCTTGTCCGGAAAAATGAAATTTGATGATAAAAAAACAAAGCAGATGACAATAAAACCCATCGCCCAAACGCATCACGGCAACGGCCATGGTAACCCGATGCACGTGAGTTCCGTGCACATTGAAATGCACATGCGTTCCCCCATTTCTTGCCCTAAAAAAATGCATCCAGATCGGATAACATTCATTTGTTATTGAATTGCTACCACATGCCAAGACTGACAAAAAATCAGCGACACCAAGCCTTTGGATGACTGCAAGCTGGACAAACCGCCCGGCAAGTTGCCAATGCATTTCAAGTCCACGTAAGGACCATATACAGGCTCCAGCAAAGGTACCAGACCACCAGCACTATAGATTACCGACCGCGTAGTGGAAGACCAAGGGTCACCACCCGACGTCAGGATCGTCAGCTTGTGCGACAGTATCTTCAAGATCGCTTTGTTACTGCTCAACAGACCATGGGGACACACCGTCGTCGCCGATTGACGAGCAGACACCTCCACTGTCACAGGCCACACCGAGGACCCGTTCTGACACCATGTCATCGCCGGGACAGTCTTCAGTGGGCAACACAGCACCAACATTGGCGCCACCAGCAGTGGAGAAGAGTCCTCTCCTCAAAGGAGAGCCGTTACTGTATCTCAACAGCAGATGGAAGAGAGAGAGTCTGGCGACGCCATTGGGAACGTTATTCGGATGCTTGTGTTGTTGAGAGAGACTCGTGGGGTGGTCCGAGCATCATGGTGTTGGGTGGAATTGGTCTTGCACAGAGGGTCAGCCCCAGAACATCTGTCTAGGGAGATACAATGATGCCACAGCAGCTCGGTACATTGATCAAGTCTCGAGACCATACGCCATACCTAATTTTGGCACGTCGCCGCAACCACGAGTTTCAGCATGATGACGTTGCACGGCAATCATCAATGCACATTGCGGACACACGAGATACTGACTTGTGATGCCATTTTCTCAGAGACTAGTGTTGTGTTTCACTTTTAGAACATTTGCCACCATAATTTCAACCTTGATGATCAGTTTTGCCAACTTTCATCTTTTTAATATGTCTCAAAGTATGTTTACAGTGTTTGGACAAATAAGGTTTCTCATATTTCTATCCATGGTGACGTTTCTTTTGCGGTTCAGTATACAAGACCATACGCCGTCAGACTATACGCCGGAGACACATCTTTGAGTTTTGATCCGGGGTAGAATCGATAGAATCGACTATACTTGTCGTAAGAGGCGATTAGCGGGACTGGGTAGTCAGGTTCGCTGACTTGATTGATGGATGTCGTCGTATCCCAATTACGTGGATTGATGGTCATGATGTCAACCACTGGATTGTCTGCTCCAGACTCGTTTATTTACAGACCGCCGTCACATAGCTGGAATATTGCTGAGTTCGGCTTTAAACATCAAACACGGAAACAAACAAATGGTAGGTGTTTGACAGATGTGATTTGTGCGTCAATAAATGTTGCAGGAACTATTTGGAAATTGACTTGAACATGCTGACAACAAATCGGAAAACACTCTACGGTTTGTCTGTAATGCTTCTCCTACATTTCAGGTAGACCAGAGAGCTTTTGTCCTGACACCTGTAATATTGCGGTGCACCGATACAGATAGCAATAACGACGTAACTACAATGGGATCTAACATTTCCGGTAAGTAAGTTAATTGTAAGAATTTGGGATATTTTACAGAAATTGGAGAGATTATCTTTTCGGTAATTTGTCGGAGAGAAGATATCAAATAGCAGAGTACATACAAACCATATGTTACACACGTGTCATGAACCCTTGAAGCATTTTCATTGGTCAGTAGACATTGGTCAGTAGTAGAACTGACACTGAAGGTTGGCTCGTTGGTAGGTTTGTTGTTTAACGCCGCACTCAGCAATATTCCAGCAATATATGACGGCGGTCTGTAATAAATCGAGTCTGGACCAGACAATCCAGTGATTGACATTATGAGCATCGATCCACGCAATTGGGATCGATGACATGCATGAACCAAGTCAGCGAGCCTGACCACCCGATACCATTAGTCGCCTTTTACGACATGCATAGTCGCCTTTTACGGCAAGCATGGGTTGCTGAAGACCTATTCTACCCAGGGTCGACACTGGAGGGAGAGATGTGCGAGAGACAGACGAAAACAGGCAATGTATCCGACCTCCATAACACAGAGATTCTTCCTCTCAATGCTTGAGCCAATACTGAATGTCGCCTCTTACGACAAGCATAGTCGCCTTTTATGGCAACCATAGGTCTTTCCAATTGCGTGGGTCGATGTTCATGATGTCAATCACTTGATTGTCTGATCCAGACTGGACTATTCACAGACTACCGTCATACAGCTGGAATATTGCTGAGTGCAGCGTTAAACAACAAACAACAACAACCAAAATTATGGGCCAGATGCCTTCTGTTCGAAAATAAAATATACTTTACAGCAATATCAGCAACATTACGTCTACGTCTTCATGACCCATGAAGAATAGGTCTTCAGCAACCCATGCTTGCCGTAAAAGGTAACTAATTACGGGATCGGGTGGTCAGGCTCGCTGACTTGGTTGATGCATGTCATCGATCCAAATTGTGTGGATCGATGCGCATGATATAATCACTGGATTGTCTGGTCCAGACTCGATTATTTACAGACCCCCCGTCATATAGCTGGAATATTGCTGAGAGCCGCGTTTAGCAACCAACCAACAAACTCATATGACAATATTGATGTGCTTGAATCACCACGAATTGGTAGTGGGGGACTGATGTACACATTGTACAATTGTTCATTATCATGGATATGTGGGATTATTACTTGAATTATATCCAAAGGAAGGCAATATTTGCTTTGAAGTTTGATGTTTAACGTCCACACTCAGCGATATTCCAGCTATATGACGGTGGTCTGTAAACTATCAAGTGTATAAAGTGTTATAGCAAAGAAATTGTGATCAAGTGTATTTGTTATAGATTTACCACCTGTGAAGTCGGGTAATTACCTGGAAAGAGAGATAAGGATGGTCCTTGTTGGCAAAACAGGAGTAGGGAAGAGTGCAACAGGAAACACAATTGCAGGTCAGAAGGTTTTCAGATCAGAACTTTGTGGAACATCAGTGACATCAGTGTGTGAACAACACAGCTTTGACATGAATGGTTATGAGTTGCAGCTGGTGGATGTCCCTGGCTTTTGTGACACTGGGAGATCAGCCGAAGACATCAAAGATGAGGTTTGTCTGTGCGTAACTAAGTCTTCTCCAGGAATACACGCCATTCTGTTCGTCGTCACAGTTGCTAGTAGATTCACAGATGAAGACGAGAAAACTATAAATGCGTTCTTGCAATGTTTCGGAGAAGAATGCAGGAAACATATTCTGGTTATATTTACTAGAAAGGATGATTTGGATAAAAAGAAGACAACAATCGATGAATTCGTCAGAACGTGTCCGGAATCCCTCCAGCAGTTTCTTTCTACTGTCGACGGCCGATACATGGCAGTAAACAACGACGACAAGTCACCAGACAAGAAAACATTTACCAAGGAACTTGTTAAAAGAGTCTTACAAATGGTTCAAACGAATGGTGGAAAGTGTTACACAAACGAGATGTACAAGAATGTGGAGATTCAACTGAAAATTGCAGAAGATGAAAGGGTGAAGCAAATTACTGCAGCAAACAAAGCCAGGGACGACATGCTGATTCAAAAGGAACAAGCCCGGATTGTAGCTGGGTTGAGGAAGCAACGTCTATGTGAGGAAGAGCTTGCTCGAAAGAAGGAAGAAGAAGAACAACGTTACAGGGCTCAATTGGAAGATGAACGTCGGAAGATGGCCCGAAGAGACATGAGAGAAAATGTTAAAAAGGATTCTGGGGGTTTATGGGGAGTTTTGGTAGGAGCGGTAGGAGCAGCGGCTGGCCTCATTGTGGCTGGCCCTGGTGGCGCACTTGCAGGTGCACGCGGTGGTTACTTACTTGGTTCTGCTTTTGATTGAAGTATTTTAGATGTGCTGAAAATGGACCGTCGTTAATGATTGACAACAATGATTACCGTATTCTTAAGTGTGCTCCACAGAATGTATTGATACATACTTCTTCCGTCTGACTATAAAAAGATATATACATTTCAAAAGTAAACCGGGGGGGGGGGGGGGGGGGGGGGGGGGGGGGGGGGGTAGCCTTGTGGTTAGAGCGTTCGCTCGTCACACCGAAGACACGGGTTCAATTCCCGACATGGGTACAAAGTGTTAAGCCCATTAAATGACTTTTTCTTTTCTGTTTTCTCTGTATTTTAGATAAATGAATTTGGTATTTGATGTGATAGGAATAATCTATAGCTATGATATAAGTACAAGTTGCTGTTTTGTTATGTGTGCGATGCAGAACTTCATGAGATTAGAACCGTGAAGATGTACCCTTGTGGGGAATCGAACCTGGGTCTCCAGCGAGATGAGCAAACGCTTTAACCACTGGGTTCCTCACCGTCCCCTTCGCTGTGACAATGGTGTTATCACAGTCGCTTTATCGCTTTCTCGTCTCGTATAATCGCTTTATCGTGGTGGTGTTCAGCCACGTAGAAATAGTTTGATACTTTTCTTATTTCTGAAAGCATGTTCTTCTTTCTATTTTTGTTATTAGGCTGATATATTTTTAAAACAAATCATTGGATTGAATTGGGTTTTTTCATGTTGATCTTTTAATATTTTTATAGTTTGGTTAGAAACTATTGTTTAATCACATTAGCTTGATAAGAAATTTGTTTTATCATATTAGCTTGATTGATATGTTTGGTATTTCTCGGTTTTTATCGCTGAGAATATATTTTTATAGGTTTGTAGTTTTACAGCACATGTGTGATTGATTAAAAACTAATCTTATATTGGATTAGCTTGATTGTTTGGTAATGTTTATATTTTCGGACAGATTATTCTAAAGTTGTTTTTGCCTCTGCTAGCCCGTTACTAGAACATATATCCTGCACATACTGGACCTTTTGTACATATTAAGCTGCTTTTCATTGTACATATTGGCTTGTAAGATATTTTTGGGCGCTCAGATGTTTTTGTCGTAAACAAATAAAGTTATTAAGATGCATAACTTGTAGTGTTATCAACAGTTATGGTCGGCAGATCAAACCGAGAAAGTAAAGTTTGGGTGGAGGACGCTTCAAGTGTCGTTGCCATTCCTACATTGAATTAAATCTTGAAAAGGTATTTTGAGCACAATGAAAGATATATTGTTAAATAGCATCTGAACATCGCTGAACGTCGCCCTTTTACTCCTCATGAGCGCCGATGGTCTGGCAGCAGTGCATTCTATAGAGATAGTCGTCCTTCAAGTCATTTATGCCGCAATCACATTTTGAGACAGATACCACAATTGCTTATCCATCCATTTATAGATATATCAATTTCGGAAAATCTCTTGTACTGACACAGAATCACCAGTCATCATTCAGCGTTTCCTCATCTATAATGGTTAACCTTGCTGATACGTCTTTACATCCGTGAAGATGAGGGGTAGAATAGGTTTTCAGCAACCAACTAACGGGATCAGGTGGTTTATGCATGTCATCGTATCCAAATTGCGTGGATCGATGCTCATGATGACAATCATTGGGTTGTCTGGGCCAGACTCCATTATTTACACACCATCGTCATATAGCTGGAATATTGCGGCGTCAAACAAAAAATCTACAAACAAACAAACATATTCATTAAGATTGCATCATTGTGTGGGGAAACGCTTCGGACTTTGAGAAGCTGGCGAGCACGGGTATGGTGCTGACAAACAAACGAGAATCATAACAGGGCAAATCTTGTATTCGAACCAATTGTTGTGATGCTGTCACGCCTATGGAACGCAACACGCAACAGCAAATTCCGGCATTTGAGACTACTGGGTAAACTGAATCCTAAATTAATCATCGATTTCCATATGGACTGGTCAGAGGCAAGCAAGGGACATTTATAAGCTGTACTTAACACAATACACAAGTCAGAAAGTAGCAAGGGACACAATAATTACTAACACAATGGACTGGTCAGAGGCCAGCAAGGGACACAATCTGTACTCCACACAAAGGACTGATCAGAGGCTGTACTTAACACAATACACCAGTCAGAAAGTAGCAAGGGGCACAATCATTACTAACACAATGGACTGGTCAGAGGCAAGCAGGGAACACAAGTTGTACTTAACACAATACCTCAGTCAGAAAGTAGCAAGGGACACAAGCATTACTAACACAATGGACTGGTCAGAGGCCAGCAGGGAACAAGCATTACTAACACAATGGACTGATCAGAGGCCAGCAATAGGCGAGTAAAGGACACAAGCTCTTCTAACACAATGGACTTTTCAGAAGAGAATATAAATATAATATATACTTATTTTCACAAATAAAAACAGTTTCACCTAAATCATGACATATTTAGACCCGACGACGTGAACAGCACACCACGTTACTGTCAGTGACACCGTACTACTTCACCGTCTACATAAACACAACACTGACGTCAGTGAGCGCCGCGGGACTCCAGGAGATTCATCAGTTGCAGACGTCCCCAGCGTCTCTCCACGCCGACCACTGTCTCCCCACACTTGTTCCTGGCGTCGATGTCCACCCCGTTCAGTGACAGCACAAACGTCATCGTCTCCACATTTCCTCCCAGACAGGGCAAGTGAAAGAGGTTGTAACCGTACTTGTCCATCAGTGACACATCCGCTCCTTCACTCACAAGGAGCTCCACCACTTCTCTGTTTCCCCCGTGTGCTGCCCACATCACCAGTGTCCTGCTCCACCACCCCACTACAGTCGATGTTGACACCCGTGACAGGATCCACCTCACCTCCTCCAGGTTCCCGTTCCTGCTGAAGGAGATGGCGGCAGTCTGCTGCTGAAAGAGTCGCTGTAACACAAAGTAAACTCTGTACACATCTCATCTTCATCATACATCTACATTGTTTACACCTCAAAATGTTGATACGTGGCACGAACATGGATACATCATTGAACACTTTCAACATGGCTGACAACAATATCACGATTTAGGGGAATGACGACAGTTGGTTCATGTAATTTAGGATTATTTATTACCCACGAGGTGAAGATACAAGCGGTAAGATACTAAATCCGTACGTCACACGTGTGTCGTACAATGTTGACCTTGTTTTATTCGTTTTGATCGGATAACCGTGACCTGTTACAACGGTACTACTTTTTTCATTCATAAATCGCGAGACGTCAATCATTTTGAAACTACACGGCAGAACTGAAGCAATCATGAGAGCGAGAGATATTTACAAACACTTTATTGAACCAAACAAGATAGTCACACGCATGAAATTCGGCTCGCATTCTAAGTTATTCACAGAGATTCTACAGACATTATATAATTTAACTATATCCATTTACAATGAACGACTACCAATCAATAGATCGAGAGTCCCCATGAGCATAACGCACCCGACCACTTTCGCAACTTTCAATTTGATTTAACGTGAAAGGATAAGCGTGGTGAAATGAAGTCATTTAAACTATCTGGACAGATACTAGACTTACTTGGGATGATCCGCTTGTGCCATCAGTGTCCCCTCCGAAACGTAATTGTGGCACTGTTTCGGGAGTTGTTTGTTCACGACTGCACGACCAGATCACTCAAAGTAAACATTTCCGATACAAATCATTCGAAAACTCCGTAGAAGTGTGCCTGATTTCTGATTATGTGGCCCAAAATATCCCAAATGTGAACAATAACATTTCCCATCTCTGGCGTAAAACGCTGTGAGTAGATTAGTGTTGTCTTTTCTTATTCCGGTGGCGACCTTGCTCTTTGATCGGTCGACGCTGTCACTGACATGCAAGCAGACTTGAGTTTGTTGATTTTCATGTCTTCAGTATAGGGTGGTACAGTTCACATGAATGTCTCTGGCGAACACTCTGATTTCCCTCATCCAAAATGGAACGGATATGAGAGTGAGTGAGTGAGTATGGTTTTACGCGGCTTTTAGCAATATTCAAGCAATATCACGGCTGGGGACACCAGGAATGGGCTTCACACATTGTACCCATGTCGGGAATCGAACCCGGGTCTTCGGCGTGACGAGCGAACGCTTTGACCACCCGACCGCTCCCTGACATGAGAGATCAAGGATACCGAACCTTTTTGATTGCGCAGACGGGACCTCGGCAGTGCGAGTAAATTTTTTTATAGCTGTCCTGCGTATTAACAACATGGCGCTTCAATAAGGATAAGTTGAAGAAATTCTTCCTAAAGGATCTTCAGCGTCGGTGCTGTTTTGTTTGCAAACACAACTGCAGGCGCATGTTGTTAATGCGTATGTATAGAAATGTCAACAATTTATGCACATATCAATATTCATGCGCAACCAGATTTTGCAACAGATTTCAGTTTGGTCTGTCAAGTTGTTATATATTTACACTTAAATATATATTTAACGTCGGTAATAAATAAAATACCACACTCATTCTCGTTTGATACCATTTTTACGAAACTCTTGAACTTTCTATGGTATCTGACCTCGCGTTAGCTCGGTACCATACCCTAAAAAGTCCATTCGTTTCGTAAAAATGGTATCTAACGAGAATGAGTGTAGTATTCTCTATGTAGCTACTGTTTAAAGACTGTCTGTGACATCTAGTAGTTGTAACATTATTCTGTGTTTGGTTGTAGAGTGTTAACTTTTGATTAACTGAGCTTCACAAGATGATAACGTCAGTACCATTGTTGTTTGATATTATAATAGGATAATAAGTTTGGATTATGTCAGCCTGTTTTGTTTGTGTTTTTTACGTCGCACACGGCAGTACTCAAGCAATAAGATTGTGGAGTCTGGTACAGACAGTCCGGTGGTTGACAATATGAGCACAGATCCACACACTTGGAATACAATGACATGCAAGAAGCAAGTCTGAGCCCCAACGGGTCTATACATTAGCTTGTTAATTGTATGAGCGTTCAAGGAATGAGCT